TCTGTGCTAATTATGTGGGATCTCACAGGTACAGAGTTTTGCGTTCTCTCCTTCTGGTCTCCACGGCAACTGAGAGCAAAAGCGTGCCCTTAGTCAGGATCTAGCTTTGGGTGACACCTTTGGGTGTTGTTTTCGCTTTTTACTGAATTTCATGATTCTTCATTCCTAAAGAAGTGCTTCAGCAGGTCTCCACCGGTATGACCAGAGCTGAAAATACTGTACCTTTGATTCGGTGACCCCTGTTTAAGCCCGTCTTCGTGTAGTGTCTCTTCTGCATCTCAACCCTCAACCTGGACATGTTGTCCATAGATACCCACCCAATACAATTTTTGTAATAATACAAAGAACAAACTTCCACACAGCCAGTGCTTGACAAAAGCCCTTTGATGTGGAAGTATTCTGCTTATATGAACAATTCCTGTCTACAAGGTTAGACAGAGAACTGAAACTGAAAAGAAACTGAAAGGACATCCATTCATTTTGAGTCACCTGGAGCTCAGCAGGACAGAAACCCTGAAGATCCTATTGCTTAGTGGCATCAGATGTGAGACATCTTTAATCCTTTGGATGCGAGTCTACATTTATATCCAAGACGAATTTATCATCCAATATTTCTAGTCTTGTATTTCCATGAAAATGTTGATAAGAGCATTTCTCTTCTCTAACCTTAGTTTCCCCCCCACGCGTAGAGTCTGTAATAAACTGCTGTGAGAGACTAGATTCTAGAGATCTGCCTCCATCTCAGGTTGGTTTTACTTTGCCTGATCAGCGAAGTTGATCTTTCAGATTTCTATTTTTGGGGGTTTTGGTATTGGTATTAAAAACAGAAGGAAAGGCATTACTGCTGAGTTTCGTATGACATGAATGGCAGTTCAATCGTGTTAGGAACCTTGAATGGGGATCATGGTGTGGTCACTCATAATTTGGGAGATTTTATGAGTAAGCATTCACATGATACAGTTCTTGTTAATATACTATATTTTTCCATATTTTTTTGTAAGTGCCATGCTGGATAGGTTATCCAGAGTTTCTAAACTGTCCGTGTGACTTGTGTCTCAGTGGATCTGGTCTGCAATAACTCTTAGCCAGGAATTTCATTTCGGACACCTGCTGTAATTCCCATGTGTACCAGCAGAGGGGAGCAATGCTCTTCAGACTCTTCACTAATGCTGCCTCGTGTAGTTGCATACCATGAATGCTCATGATAAATCCATTCATTTTCTATCTGCTTCTTCCAGTACAAGGTCAAGCAGAGGAGCCCGAGTCTATCCCAGCAAGCAATGGGCAAAAGGCAGGATAGACTCGGCCTTGGAGAGGCAGTGATATTTTTAAGAAAAGCTGTATGAACGAAAGGAAGGAGAGCTGGTGAGGCCCCAGGGTGTGATCAATGCAGTCAGGTTGCCTCCAGTCAGTGTCAGTGGATATCTGCGGAGTCTAGCCCCTCCTGCCCAGATCCTAAGCTCACTGTGCTCGTTCCTCCCCCTAAACGGTTGAAATATACCCGTGCACTAAACCCGCGAGCGGCGAGTCTAGGAGGGGGAGGTGGGCGGGCACAGAAATCCTAAAATAATCCAGGACTGCCACAAGCATAGTGCAAAAAGTGTCTGGTTGCCAACAGTGCTCTTGTGCAAGAACAACATTTACAAAATCTAAAAAAAAAAATGTTTAAACGAAAATAGTAAAGAGCAGATGCTCCAAGGGATTTCCTACTGGCAGTTTCAAAACAACAGAGATGGAATCTCCCAGGTGGTGTAAGGACATGTAGGCCAGGTTACGCCATATAAACTAAGACAGGGCTGACAGTTGCACTTGGAGGTAAAAAGCTCTCACCCCCAGGCTCCGCATGAGGGGCAGGGAAGACTCCGTCTAAACCAGAGGAGAGTCGGAGTCGGTAATCTGACACAGCACAGTGGAATGAACAGGCAACGCTAATACAACACATATACAAAACGCTCATATAGAGATGAAATTATCAGTAGCTAATTACAATTTCCACAGTATGAAGCTAAAGATATTGCTATTACCATGGTTATTTATTTTATTTTAGCTTATCTTTCTGCGTGACTGCACCACCCTCCCTGTCCTGCATCAGGGTGGCCTACTCAAAACGTTTACTCATTGCTCGAGAGCTTTTTGCTCCTTTTGGGTGATTTTCTTTCCTGAATTTCAACGGGTCAAATCCCCTCTTCACCGGTGACCAATCTGCTCTCGCTGAGGAGTCGGTTTAGTGCTTATGCACCGGCGACAGTCACGTGGTCAGTCACCAATGATCACTTTTGCCAAAAGGTGGTAAAAACATCACAAATCTGTATGCTTTGTCTAAAAACACTACACGAATTGAGTGACAAGTTCTTTTGTTGCAGAACACCCGAAAGGCATAGAAAACACCACTCAGGAGTAAAGGTGGGCTACAGAGCACATCAGAAAGTCTTTGTTTGCATGAAACATAATGAGCGAATGCAATGGTTTTAGGAGCACCAGTGTTGCTTCCTTGCATCGCTGGAACCCTGGGTTCAATTTCTGGGGTGCTGTCTGTGTGGAGTTTGCATGCTCTCCCCCAGTTCACATGGGTTTCCTCCAGGTGCTCTGGTGTCATCCTACAGTCCCAAGACATGCTGGTGAATGGATTATCTTCTGGG